CGCGGTGGCACCGCTGAATGTGTCCCTAAACTGCACTTTATTTTTATCGCCATCGAATGAATGTTTTATATTGACTTGTCTATGTTTTTAAATGATGTATTTTATTCTATCATTGTAAAATGTATACTGCTTTTCAGTTTTTGGAAGCCACACTGAGCCCGCCTGGCGGGGAGGGCGGGGTAAAAGTGAAATAAATAAATAAAGGCTCACCGTTGCCCTAAGCACTGACCAATCTTGGTGCCCCCCTCCTTTCCACACTGACCCCCAGTCCATTTTAGCTGTTGACCTGTCTGACCAGATATACAATGCAGGTTGCAGCAATACAAAAATGTATTCCTAGGATAACACAATAATACTGTACAAACTAAGCCAAGCTTGGGCTACATAAAGTTCTACAAAAATGCAATACAACATCTGTCTTAATATTCCACAAGTTAAATGTATCAAAGTGCCAATATTCATGACCTGAAAGGCATTTTTCTACAGTTCATTTTCGCAAAATCACTGATAACATCCTCAAAATTAATACCTCTCAGAATGTCTGCTTCAGTTGTTAATATACACAGTGAGTTGAGTCTTTCTTGAAGCATAACTGATTTGGGTTTTTTTACACTTTTTACACGTTTCAGTTGTGAGGAAGACCTACAAATCTTCATTCGTTTTTTTTTTCTTTTCATCCTTTTCCACACTTTGTGGTGCCCCCTTTGGCCCTGGTGCCCTGAGCACGTGCTTAGTCTGCTTCATGGTTAATCCGCCCCTGATTGCATATCTATGTGTGTCATGTGGTTTTGGAAGGGGAATAGATTGTTGCAGGAATCCCCTGTCTGGGTATGGACTTGGAGGGGAGAGCCAGCCCCTTTGGTGCCTATCTGATGCTTTGCATGTGCAGGAAGGGACATGGGTGGACCATGACATAGGGTTAGGGTTAGGGAAATCCCTGTGCTCTAAGGCACAAAGCAGTCCTTTGTCTCTTCCAGGGAGCACATGTCCAGGTGCAATAACAGGCAACAACAGGAAACCAAGAAAGCAAGAGCCGAACAGAACAAGGGACAGAGAGAGTCTCTCTCATTGGGTCTGAACAGATATAGTCCAATTTCAGTCTCAATCAGCTGTGGCCATCAGCCAATTGGAGTGGACATAGGTGTGTCCAATTTGTTGGTTGTCATGGGGACAACTGGGGATAGGCTGGAAGTTTGGAAACCACGCCTGCAGTCACATGGCCCCAAGCTCCAGGTTCTCCATTGCTGACGTGACTTTTTGCCTGTGAGCCAGCCATCAGGACTGGCTTTTGGCATGAACGTGTGAAGGAATGTGGGTTTATGGCATGCAATTGAGGCCATGGGGCCTACCATTTGGCTTGTAACAGGAAGTAAGGCACAGCCTGTTACCAAAAGACAGAACAGGAGAATGCAGGAGACATTTAGAAATCAATATTTCTATGCTGTTGGGTGTGGCCTATTATGCTAATGAGTTCCTGCTGGGCTTTTTCTACCAAAAAAGCCCTGGGAGGAACTAACGTTGGATGAGGGACCCCAGGTAGAGGATGGTGTCCTAGTGGAGTTTCTGGAGGTTTTGGGTTGATCACTAGCCTAACAGGATGCGCCACTTACATGGACCTGATCAGGGGTCATTTCGTAGAAAAAGAGCTAGGGGAACTCATTAGCATAACTCATTAGCATATGCCACACCCCCTGACATCAGGGGCCCGGCGGTGGACCTGCAAGGCCAGCGGGAGTGCGAGGAAACCCCGCCAAGGCCCCAGGCAGGCAGGGGTGGGGAGAGGCGGGGGGGGAGCAAATTACCCTGCCTCCTCCTGGCTGAATGAGGGCCGGAAGCGGGGCGGCTGGAAGCAGGCGGCGGGGCTTCGTCATGTGCCCCGCCCCCCTGCACCTCACCCGGGGGAACTGCGTTCCCCTGCGTCCCCCCCCCCGAAATGACCTCTGGACCTGATCCAACCACGTTCTGCTAAGGTACTTATTAAAAGGAGATCGGCAACATTCATGGAAGATGTGGAGAAGTCGATCCATGGTGGTTATCCATGGTGGTTAATTGGAATCTGCATGTTCAGAGGCAGTCTACCCTTTTTTCGCCAGTTGCTGAGGTGCAAATGACAGAGGATGGCCATTGTCTTCAAGCTCTGACATGTGGTTTTACCGGACAACATCTGGTTTGTACCCATTGGCAGGGCTATTTTTGGGCAGGAACGTACAGGAATGGAGTTCCGGCAGGCTTCAGAGTTGGCCACGCCCACTACAGTCAAAACCTCTGCACATGCGTGGCTACAGAGGAAAGGCCTGGAGAGCGACCCCCCCAGCGACTCCGAGGCAAGCGGGCCAGGGGGGCCCTGGAAGGATCGGGGAGGTATTTAAATGCCTCCCCGTGCCTTCCTCGGCCTGTCCAAGGGCCGGCTTGCCCGGGCTCCCTGCAGCCACAGGGTCCCCAGGGAAGCCAAGGGAAGGCAGTTTAAACTACCTTCCCTTCTGTATAGGATTCTGCCCCCAAGCCTGTCCAAGAATGAGGGGGGAAGCCCACACTTTTTCAATACATTAAACATCAACCCAGAAAGGTAGGCTACCCTCCCTGGATTCAGAACAATATGCCACCAGAATCCCTTTTTAAGTGGTCCCGGCTTTTCCCCAAGGGAGGGATTCCAAACCTTTTGCATCTAGGGCTTAACACATTAGCACCTCATTCCCAGAGATGTACACTTAATGCTCAATGGTAGCGTGTGGCCAGCCAGGCACAGGAAAATAGACTTGGAATCTCAGTTACAACATCAAAGACCAGTTAGAAACAAGAATAATGTTTATTCAGTCAGAGCGTAGCAAAATAGACTATAAGTTTACAAAATAAAAAAGCCTAAGGCGATTTGCCTTAAGTAAACATAATGCTTCATAGTTACCATGTCAGGAACATCTACAGTCCAAATAGTCGAAGGGATTTTGAAGGGAAATCCCTGTGCTCTAAGGCACAAAGCAGTCCTTTGTCTCTTCCAGGGAGCACATGTCCAGGTGCAATAACAGGCAACAACAGGAAACCAAGAAAGCAAGAGCCGAACAGAACAAGGGACAGAGAGAGTCTCTCTCATTGGGTCTGAACAGATATAGTCCAATTTCAGTCTCAATCAGCTGTGGCCATCAGCCAATTGGAGTGGACATAGGTGTGTCCAATTTGTTGGTTGTCATGGGGACAACTGGGGATAGGCTGGAAGTTTGGAAACCATGCCTGCAGTCACATGGCCCCAAGCTCCAGCTTCTCCATTGCTGACGTGACTTTTTGCCTGTGAGCCAGCCATCAGGACTGGCTTTTGGCATGAACGTGTGAAGGAATGTGGGTTTATGGCATGCAATTGAGGCCATGGGGCCTACCATTTGGCTTGTAACAGGAAGTAAGGCACAGCCTGTTACCAAAAGACAGAACAGGAGAATGCAGGAGACATTTAGAAATCAATATTTCTTTACACCTTCCCTTCCGGGCTTCCCGCAGCTGCAGGGTGCCCAGGCAAGCCAAGGGAAGGCATGGGGGTGTGGCCTAATATGCGAATGCGCTGTGCTGTCAGGGGTGTGGCCTAATATACTAGTGAGTTCCTGCTGTGGGGTGTGGCCTATTATGCTAACGAGTTCCTGCTGGGCTTTTTCTACAAAAGAAGCCCTGCCCATTGGAAAGAGGATGCTGGATGAGATGGTCCCACCCTGGTTTGATCTAGTATGGCTCTTCTTAATACTTATTCTGAAGATTTTATTCCAGGGGTCCCCAACATGTGCCTGTGGGCACCCTGTCACCCGCCAAAGCCTTTCCTGGCGCCCGCCGAGTGCTTTTTAGAAAAAGGGCAGGGCCAGGTGGGACTTTTGCACAGCAGGACTCCTGATTGGCTGCTCACATTGAAAGGCATCCTGTTAAGCAGAGCGTCTGCCTGAAATGTTGAAGAGCTGCTGTTAAGGGCTATTTATAACTCCCCTCCTTGTCGTTTTGTGGTTTGCTTTGCCTCCTACGGCAGCCATTTGGTGAGTGGCTCCTCCTCCTGAGGCAGCCATTTTGTGATTGTACCCACTGCTCTGTGTCAGAATTCCAAAGATGTCTCCAGGCTCAACGAGGTTGGGACTTCCTGGTGTATCCTTTAGGTCCAGACAAGAGTAAGCAGATGGAGCTCTCATTCTGTCCTTCTCCTTCCCCCCTCTCAGGTCAGCCTCTCCACGGTGGGCTATGGAGACACGGTGCCGGACACGGTGCTGGGCAGGATGGTGGCCTTTGCGTGCATCTCCTTCGGTATCATCCTCAACGGGATGCCCATCTCCATCCTCTACAACAAGTTCTCCGACTATTACGCCAAGCTCAAGTCCCACGAGTACCAGGCCACCATCTCGCTCAAGCTCTCCCGGAAGCTCCACCTGAAGCGGAGAACTTGGCAGAAGTTCCTGGAGTGTTGCTGCCCGGAGGACTACCTCACCTGCCAGCCGGCGGCAGGCCAACGTTCCACGCTGCAGTCTGGCCATCCGGGGCACCCCGTTATTCACCAACCGCGGCACAGTCACCACCAGCTGCTACCTTCTGCTCCTCACTCCCCCTGTCCTCAGGGCCACCGCGATGGCCCTGCCCACTACCGGGGTCATCACGCTCACCTGGGACTTCCCACCTCGCACCTATCGTCGTCGGGCCACCCCACCCCTCAACACTCCGCCCACTCGTTGCTGCAAGCCAGGCAGTCTGGCCAGTAGCCTTGGGTAACCGTCAGCTCCCGAGTGGCCGCCGCTCTCTGGTGTCTCAGGCAGAGAGAGGTCTTTTCCATCTCTGCTGTCTGAGAATTTTTAGCTTGCGATTGAAACCGGGGGGGGGGGGCTTTCTGGGTGCCAAGATGAGCCCAGCTGGGTGACCTTGGGCAAGCCGTAGTTCTGATAAGAGCTGTTCTTGAGAAAGAGCAGTTTCTCTCAGAGCTCTCTCAGCCCCGCCTACCTCACAGGGTGTCTGTTGTGGGGAAGGGAAGGGAAAGGAGTTTGTAAGCCGCTCTGAGCCTCCTTTGGGTAGTGAAGGGCGGGGTATAAATCCAATCTCCTCCTCCTCCTCTTCTTCTTCCTCCTCCTCCTCCTCCTCCTCCTCTTCTTCTTTTTCCTCCTCCTCGGCTTTTAGGCAGAGTAAAGTCTTTGCTGTCTCCTAAAAACCCAAGACACCCCAGGCAGTCTTAGGGTTGCCCACCTCCAGGTTGGGCCTGGAGATCTCCCATGTTCACAACGGATCTTCAGACTATGGAGATCAGTTCCCCCAGAGAACTGGTTCCCCCCCCCTTTTTTTTCTGGGCATGGAGCAAGGGTCACTGGGGATGGGGAGGAGGTATTTGTGAATTTCCTGCATTGTGCAGGGGGTTGGACTAGATGACCCTGGAGGTCTCTTCCAACTCTATGATTCTATGATTCAGAGGAAAGAGATGCTTTGGAGGGTGGACTCTATGGCATTTCACCCCACTGAGGTCCCTGCCCTTCCCAGGCTCCATCCGCAAACCTCCAGGAGTTCCCAACCTAGACCTGGCAACCCTGCTCCAAGGTGCCTCTTCTCAGACGGCGATTGCCCTTTGCAGGATTTATACATTTTGGCATTCATAGTAGTATTATTTTTTGAATCAAAGAAAGTAATCAGTTAGACACGGCGGAAAACACATGTGGTTGAAGGAAGGCGCTTGAGTTCACCAGGGAGGCAAAAAGAACAATCTGTCTTCCTCCAAAATAACAGTTTAAATCAACCAAGCGGTTGCAGCATAGGAAGCCAGCCAAAGCCAAGAAGAGAAGAAGAGGAAGAGAAGAGATTGGATTTACACCCCTTGGATTTACACCCCGCCCTTCACTCGGAGTCTCAGAGCGGCTTACGAACTCCTTTCCCTTCCCCTCCTCACAGCAGACACCCTGTGAGGTAGGTGGGGCTGAGAGAGCTCCTTCGAGAACTGCTCTTTCAAGAACAGCTCTGACAGAACTACGGCTTCCCCAAGGTCATCCAGCAGCTGCAAGTGGAGGAGTGGGGAATCAAACCCGGTTCTCTCAGATTAGAGTCCTGAACACTTAACCACTACACCAAACTGGCTCTTCAAGGTCCTTGGAGAGCTCAGCTGTATGTGGATTGATGTCTCTCTGTCCTGAGCTTAGAAAGAGCTCATGATTAATTTTCTTGGCAGGGTCAGGGCTGGTGGTGAGGAAGTTTTCCTTTTGTTGAACAAGGTCAATACTAGGCAACCTTGAGAAAGACAGGAGTGCTCCCTCTATGACTGTCATAATGGGTCTTTTGTATTTGTAGGACCAG